TCCCGCCAAAGATTAGCACACTGGGTTGTGGAGGCTATATCTCTGGCATATAGGTGCGCAGGATCAGAGCCCATTCAGGGCCCATTCTACCAGAAGCATGGCCACCTCTTGGGCTTTGTTCCGTGGTGTGTCAGTTCAGGACATCTGTGCTGCAGCCAGTTGGGCTACGCCGCACACATTTGTGAGGTTTTACAGGCTGGATGTGGCCCGGCCATCGCTAGCACACTCAGTGCTTGGAGTAGGGATGTTAGGGTCCAACTGAGACCTGGGTTGTGATTCCTATCATATATGGCTTCGGGATCATCATGCAATGCGGGAGTGGGCCATATCTCCCATAGTGAAACACCGAGCGAAGTTAGAAAAAGAACGTTGGGTTACTTAACGTAATCCCTGGTTCTTTGATAACAGAGTGAGGTGTTTCACCAACACATCCCTTCTTGCATGGGCACGGAAAAGAAACCTGCCTAGAATGAGTTGAGGCGGGTAGGTTGGCCGTGATCTAGCTGGTGGGTGGAGCCACGGACACGGCTCAACCTGTCTGTCTCAGACAGACGTGATGTCATTGGAGCTTCCGTAGTTGGTCACGCCAAGGCGATTCCCATAGTGAAACACCTCACTCTGTTATCAAAGAACCAGGGATTACGTTAAGTAACCCAACGTTTTTACAGCTGACTTTAGCCATTGGTTTAGAGTCACAGTGATGAAGTCCTGCTCTGGACTAGTTGAGGTTGATTTTAACTGAATTTAAAAAGTAACAAATTATTTAATGAAAGTGATTCAAATTCATGTACATTAATTATTAAAAATTTGAAAAAATGATGGGACTTGCTTAAGATTATTGATCAGGTTAAGTACAGGACCTATAAATAATTTATCACAATTAATTGCATTTTAATTCAAAACCATATATTCACAACCTTTTCAATTAAGATAACTCTTCTTGCTTCTAATTTATGAAAGAAAAATGATGGTAATAATTAATAATTAATTATGGTAATAATTATAATTATTATGGTCTGTTTAAAACAAATACATCAATATGACTATTATAAAAACTATACAGCATCAGGGCATACAATACGTAATACATTTGTAGTAAACAGAAGTTAAAGATCCATTTCTAAAACTGTTATCATAACTGTAGCGATAACAGAGGTCTACATAAAGTGTAACGATCTTGGTTCTGTTGTTTTTCTTTAAGTTTTCAGTTTCAAGTTTGTTTTCTAGCTTTATTGATGTGTCTGGATTAATTTAAGTTGCTTAGGTTTTTCTGTCTGTCCTCTGTTGCCCCCTTGTGTTCTTTTCCCTTGGCTTCCTCATCAGCTCTAGTCACACCTGCTCCCTATCAGCTCATTAGCCCTACCTTTGTTCAGTCAGCCATAAATACACTTCCTCTGCAGTCTCTCTTTGCTGGTTCCTCGTCTTATTTCATCCTACCCCGGCTCCTCATGACTTTTTCCCCTGATGTTTCCATGGTCCTGGTTAGTGTTCAATTCTTATGTTGGTGTTTTTGGATTTCTGTTTTGATTTACATTTTTAAGTTGGATTTTTGGATTCCTGTTTTTGCTGCCTGATTTTTCATTAAACCTTCCAAGATCTCACCCCTGCCTCTCAGCTTCTGCTTTTGGGTCCAAACAAAAACCTTAAAACCAAATTGTGACATAAAGCTTTGGATTTAAAAGGTTTACATTTGGTAGTCCATGCAACATTTAGTGCAATTAAAAAACATTTACCAACGCGAATGTTTGTCACATAACAGTAGGAGCTGAAGGGTAACAGTTTACACTCCTCCAAAACCTGAACTCTCTGTGGGACTCTTTGGTCCTTAGGACCTGAGTTGTATGAAAGAACTACACAAAATATGATCATTATATTTTTTTGGTCCTACTGTTTGGTTTGAAGAATGTAGTTTTGCCGTGGTGCCCTCAGAGTTTACAACTTTGCCATGTTTGTCACCTGTTCTAGGATAAAGATAAAGGATGTCCTGTTGGTCATCCATCCTGCGTACTTTAGAATCATTTGTTTCTAAGTGATAAACACACTTTTAAAATTTCCCATAAAGCATGTGTTATTGTGTTACTGTGTTGTGCTGTGTTGTGCCATAGTGACTTGCAAAGGAATCTACACTCCTTAAAATTCACAGCATCACCAAACAATAAAATCATGACCTACAATACAAATTGTTTTATTGAAACTGTATGAGCAGCACAGAGAGGAGCAGACTTCTGAATCGGAAAGAAAGGATATGCATCTACATATTTATTTTTTCTGTTTATAAAAGGGGGACATACTTTTTTTGCATTACTCCATTTACCCTTACGTGTCTTATCTAAGTCTAGTGCAAGGATTTGCTTTACAAAATTACCCAGTTAGCAAATAGGATAACATTAGTTTGTTGTCTTTGAGTGTACATGCATCATTACCTGGCTCCTTTGTAAGCTTTGTAGGGTCCCAAGTTCATAAGCTATGATAAAACAGAGCACTATGGAGCCTTGCCAAAAATATGACAACTTAAGGCAATTATAATCAAACCAGGATTTTACTTTTTCAAATATTTCTATTTACTGCTAAAATTACTTTTTTCTGATTACTTGAGCCCAACTGTTGTTACTATAGGCTATTTTTGCTAAACTCTACACACAAATAAGAAACCTTTTAACCAAATCAGCAAAACATTACAGTTCTCTTGCAAAAACTAATAAACCTTACTTAACTCTTCAAACCTTCATAAAAAATGTATTTTTGTATCAAACTGTTAACACAAGCCATCATATTAGTAATAAGCACAGATTGTTCCAACTAAACATTGATGGTATAGGTAAAAAAAACACATCTGACTTTTGCTTTCTCTGTGGAAAGGTAGGCTATGTCACATTGAGGTCATACTTTTGTCATAACTTAGTAAACATACAGGAATCCAAAACATATGAGGATCACAACTTCAAGTGTTGGTGTTTATTTACACACATCAAATCACTGAGAAAATAAAATAAAATCAGTTGATCCCGTGTTGTCTCTCTGGGTCTGATCACAAGACTTCCTCCACATCACATGCAATGTCCTCTCGTCCAAGGCACCATGGAAAATATCTCCCGGAATGCCTGCATTCAGGCCTGACATGATGCCTGGTCAATATCCCTATATGCCTCCTACGTTGGCTGTAAAAGGGCTGTGTGTTGATAAGGATGATAGTCATAGACCTTCCAGCCCCAGGCTGAGAAGAAGTCTTCAGTCGGATTCAAGAAAGGAGAGTTTGGTGGCAGGTTGAGTGCGGTAAAAAGTGGGTGATCTGCAAACCAATTGTGGACCAAAATAGCCATATGCAAACTAATATTGCCCCATATGATGACGTGTATCTGGTCTCCTACTTCTTCACCTCCTCTAATTGTACAGTCACCACACAGACTGCTCACCTGTCGCTTATTTATAGTGCTTACTGTAGGCTGATTGTAATCTGAAATAATTATCTAAAATATCATTGTGACAGTGATCCAGACAGCTGTTTACATTTCAGCAAAAAAAGTGATGTGCTGTGCAGTGGATTGTAACTGCAGTTTGAAAAGTGTGTTATAAAATTTCAACTGAGTGCAAAGCTTTTAGTTTCGCAAACTCAGTGAGTGGTTTCGCTTTAATACGTTTTATTAGTTTTAGATATTTTTTCATGAAAATCTGGGTTAGGGGTTAAGCATTCTGAAAAAAACTATAATGTACAGTATTTGTGCTCTCCTGACTCAATAAAAAACAAGAAAAAGAAAGAAAAACTTAGTGTGTATAAAAGTTTCTTTTCAAATTAAGTTGTAGAAATTGGTTCAATATAGACAGGCATAAATTGGAGGATTCAAGAATCAAGTTATTGCGTAGTCTCCAGCCAGTCGAGATTTAACCGTTTTACGGGTGTTACTGAACCCTAGGATATTGCTAAAAGGCTACTTTTCTCCTAGTTACGCAGTAAAATGAAGCAACAATAATAAAGGTATCTAGCACAAAGACAATGCCCTGCTGTAATGAGTTTTCTATTACCACTAACTCTACACTGCGGATTCCCATAAACCTGTAAGCCCCCTCTTTTATTTCAGCAAGATAACATGTTGCTCAATAAAGCATAAAACCAGATTGTAATCAAACTTATAAAGCTAAGAGCCAGAGGTTTATTGCAACCATGGATTTGAAGTAAACCAACAAGTATCAAAAGCTATTCAAAATGTACCATTTTTGCAGTATGTTGTACTGTGTGTAAATAGAGGCTTGTGAAGGATAAGCTGTCATTTTCAGCGTAGATTTTAGAGGCAGCTGATCAAACACAAGCAACAGGTGAACAATAAAAAACTAAGCCAAAACTCATGATCTGTATTTAAAAAGGGCAATTAAGAAACACCCAAAGACTTTTATACTGACTGGTACTTTTATGTGTAATATATGACTCAGAAATTCCATCATCACATGTGGGTAAGAGAGCAAGTTCTTTCATTCTTCATCCGTCTGTCCATCCATCTGTCCTATGTCTCTATCTATCTATCTATCTATCTATCTATCTATCTATCTATCTATCTATCTATCTGTCTGTCTGTCTGTCTGTCTGTCTGTCTGTCTGTCTGTCTGTCTGTCTGTCTGTCTGTCTGTCTGTCTGTGCTTTCTTGAACATGACTCATGATCATTGTGCATAAAGAGTGATACAAGAGTGATAAAGCAGTTACAGAAAACTCATTTTCAAAGGGAGATTGCACGAACTGCTGCCATCTTGGTGTCAGTTTCTTTGCTACTGAAGTCTTTAATTTACAAATGGATTTTAGAACAAAGAAACAGTATTAGCTGGGTATTTGTTTTTATTTGATTTCATTTCCCCTTTCATCATAATGTGAGGATTTAAAGCTCTAAATATTATATGTCAGGATTTATAAAACAAACAATTTAACATCATAGAAACAAATAAAACTTCTTCATTTTTTCATTCAGGTATTAAGAGAAATGGAAATGATAAAAGTGATCAAAAATATGTTTGGATATTTTGGTAAGGATTTACAATAAACTAAGCAGGTCATTATCATTATTGTAAAGAGTTGATTTAGAAGAACAAAACATCATTAACATTTTCGGTTTGTTACATGCTCAGTTGAGCTCACAAAGGGTGAGTCACTTTCATGGCTGAAAGCATAATGGTTATTACAATATAATTTGAGATACTTCTAATAAAAATGAAAAGATGAGGTGATCAAAATTGGCAATGGAAACTGTGGAAAGACAAAAGATAGCAATAAGAGAAAGAAACTGTCGTTGCTGTTCTTGAATTTTGATCATTTTAAGCTTCTACACAGATTATGACAACACATGGCCACATGTTGATTCTATGGATATTAACTTTGCAGAATGATTGTGTATAGAACAACAACAATTATAATGGCTGTGACATAAAATACAATCCCAATTCCAAGACCAACATGGTTCAGTATCTGGGCATATTTGCTGGATTGTTCTGCTGCCATCCTGTCACCTCTGGAATTGGCATTATGAGTCTGAAGGAAAAAGAAAGAATAAAAACAAAACAAGTCATGTCTGTTTTCTGTGACTTTTTGGTCTTGATGAGAGCCTTGAGAACTACAGAGCAGACGATCATGGTATTTCATAGGTTTGACTTGGGTGGTCCGAAGTTTTTGATTTCTCTTATTTCAAATATTAATTTACCCCATTTACTCACTATAAACGTTTTCACTCAGTCTGTTTCACCTGCAAGGCCACGCAATTCTCCTGTGTGAGGGAGTTAGCTTCTTCTCAAAACAAGCCAGATTCTTTCTCAGGGTTTATTCATAACATAATAAACCAACGTGTCTGTAATTTGTTTTCACTCTCTGACTTCTTTCCACTGCTGTGTGTCAAGGGAACACATGCAGCCCAGGCAGAACAGGTCTGAATACATAGCAGTAAGGGCTGTATGATGACCTGTTCTCTCTTCGCAAAGATATGAAAATAAAGTGCAGACTGAGAGAAATCCATTGATCTTGGTTTGTTCAACTAGGGTGAATAGTTGAATACTTTTTTCCCACTACACTATATTAAGGAAAATAGTTCCTGCCTGGTGCCTACAGAGTTTACAGCTCGTTTAGGGTTTTTGAGGATTAAATAATAAGGATGAATTACATATCTTGTAGACTCTTGATTTTTCCAAGCTGTGTTCCTAATGGAACACTCAAATATCACCTGCTTGATCTGTATGAAAGAAATATTCTCAATGAATACTTTGCCCTGTACAATGTGGAGTCACACATAAAGTTAATGTGTCTTTAAAAACAGGTCAAATGAGGCTCAGTATTGTTTGTGGCCTCCATGTGGCTGTGTGACCTCCATACAACACTTGGGCATGCTCCTGATGAGGTGATGACGGTCTCCTGATCACAGAAGTTTTAATTGATTGGGATTTTATTGTATTGTTTATATGTCCTCTTCATTTTTTGAGCAACTTATAAAAATTGAAAATCATACACAAGGATAAAGAAAATGCAAGCTGTGAGTGAGTGACTTTACAGCTGTCCATAACTCCATAACCACACCTCAATAAACCTGTGTCAGGACACTTTTTTATCTCAACACGATAAAACAGCAGTTTTAAGGATAAAAAAAACTGGCGGATCAGATTCAACTGGAAGTTATACGGCTTAGTGGCAGAAGTTTGACGCCACAATTGTATAAGGAAAATTAAAACCACCGACTGACCAAACAAAAGTTATTAACGGTCTCCTAAAAATCCCCCAATATGTGCCATCATTGTGGAAATAAATTAAAACTAATCAGAGTTGATAATTATATCTAATCTATAGATATTGTTGACATCCGTCCCTGATTGACCCTGGTATCCACTTTTGGATGTGGGTATTACTATACACCGGTGTGCAAACTTCAATTAATGCCGGCGGCTCATTCACAAAAATGATCGCATGCAGGCCAAATGAAAATCCATGTCTTATCTTGCCTCTGTCTTAACCTGGCTGATCAGCTCTGGTGGCGATGGCTGCATATTCACTTTCCTTTCATCTATTGCTTAGAAATGTGTCCTCTTTATTCAACCATCCCTTGAGATGACAAAACTTAAATCCCAAGATTGCTTTCTCAACATGAGTCAAAGTGAACAGGTACTAAGTTTTAAACTCTGTTTAACAGCATGCATTTTGCATTGTTCTGCCTTGGGCTTCCCACTGCCTTTTTATATTCATATATATTTTATATTCAAATTTCTGCTTGCAAGCTTGAACCTTGTTCAGCATTAAAGAGAATTGCTGCTTTAATAGCCTGCTGTGGTATGTATTATTTAAGCCTGGTTTATCTTTTTTAGGACATTTTTGAATCATACTGTAGGCAGAATGCATGGAAGAATGTAGACAAAGTATAAATTGAATATACTTACAGCTATAGAGTTGACAAGAGCGGCTATTCCCAGGGGCAGGCAGCAGCAGAGCATGGTGAAGATGGAGTAACCCATGTAATCACTAACAGGGTATAATTGAGAATATGTTGCAGGCTGAATGGTTACAATGGCTGGCTGGCATTGTTGCCCCCGGCCCAGAGGGTAAGGCTGTTGGTTTTGCTGCTGGCCAAATCTTGAACCACCCATCTGTTGTGAATATCCATAACCCTGAAGAAAACCAACATGAAAGTCCTTCTTAAACTTAAAGTGATTTTCTGAAATAAAGTAAGAAGTAAAAAAAGGCAACAATCTTAGAGCTTTAAAGCACATGTTTCATTTCATATTAGTTATTTTTATTTATTCATGTATATTTATTGTATATGTTAAATTTAACAGATCATAATGGTTTGCATTTTGGTTTAAACTTTAAAATGTATTTGGGGCATTGATATACTGTATATATATATATATATATATATATATATATATATATATATATATATATATATATATATATATATATATATATATATATATATATATACCTGGATTTATCTTAAAGGTACACTATGCAACCGGTGTTGATTTTCCAGCGAGGCTCCCTCCAGAGGGCGAAAGTAAAAGTGCACTGTCGTAAATATGCTCAGCTGTTCTCCTGGTTTCTCCATCAAGCCAGGCGCGGTTGTTTTGAGCTTAGCAGCAAATGACTAACGCTGCGTTCACACTGGACGTAGCTGGCGCGACAGAAGCAGCGAGTTTACATGCAAAGTCAATGGTTGACGCGCGTCAAGGCGCAGCAAAAGGTCCAGCGGCGCGTTTTGAGCACCAGGCGCAGCGCGTCTGAGCAGCTGAAGCAGCGCGTCGGGTGCGTTTAACGCAGGGAGAGAGACACAGCGCTGATGATCACTCCTCTTAAACAGTTTATTGACGCCTAAATTAACTTAAAATGCAGAAATCTGCCGGCAGAATATGCAGTTTGGATTATTTAGATGAAAAACACCTACCAGCTGCCGCGGTGAACCGCTGCTGATGAAGGGATCCATACTGTCGGCGCATCCCTGGTATGTGGGGGTCTGAGCGGCTCCGACAGAAAAAATATTGAAGGCAGGATAATAATCTGAATGAACTGACTGCACTGATTACGTTTTCAGGTGTATTTTCTCACTTAAAAACATTAAAACTACTTTATTACCACTGATCACAGCAAATATAGCTGCAAGGCAGAGAAAGGATAGTGAAGCTCCGCCCAATGCGCCTCAGACACACTTTTGCACCGCGCAGCCAGAGCAGCAAAGCTGCTTCAGCCGCGCGTCAGAACAAACTGGTACAAGCAGCAAAAAGGAAGCAGCAGACGCGATTTTGCTGCTTTTGCTGCGTGAACGTAGCATAACTGCACAAAGATTGCCACTGTGCTAGCAACGAGAATGCTTTTAACTGGGGGCGTGTAGCAGTTCTCGCCGTAAAGCAAGACTGACTCTCACGAGACTTCTGAGCCTGTGGGTGCGGGTCGGTGCTCCTGCAGTTGCAAGTGCAGTATTTCCCCCACAGACCACCAGGGCGGCCGAGAATACCTTTGTTCAACCTGAAATGACTCATTTAATCATCCATAACGTTATGGAACACATTAATTAACTGAAAAATGTTGCATAGTGTCCCTTTAATAGGCACACACATAAATACATACTTTAATTTAACAATGATCTTACTTACTTTTGTCTTATATCAGAATAAAAGGCAAATACTGTGGATGCTGATATTTACCTGTGGCTGTGCTGAGTATGGGGGGGCTGGGGGGTATCCGCCCTGGTTAGCTGATGATGAAAAAAGGACGGTGGAGTTGTTATCACGGCTCCATTTTATTTCAGGTCTCATTGCCCTGTTGTTGTCCATAATGTAGCTGTGAAGACTTTAGGCACCTGCTCCCTCCTATTTCTTTACAACAGCTCTACTGGGCTGTGAGTGCTGAAGAGAGGCATCAAAAATGATCTTTATATCCATGTTTATGGTGGTGTTACGTAACAGAAATGAAACTGTTCCTGTTGTGAATTTCAGACAGATAAAATAGGAGAATCTATGAATTTCAGATTATGAAAGGTTATGTTTCAATCCCCAGTAGCAGCTTTGTCATTTCTTACAAACTTCAATCCAGCAAAAATGAAATGATGTGATATGCTTCACCTTTGAACGCAGCTTTATTTAGAAAGTTAAACAATTGAGATTTGATCAGAAGTTCATGCAGAAGCGTGTGTTGTGGTAACATTTGGACCACTGAAAACCTAAAAATTTTTATTATCTACAGTTATTATGCTTTGTTTCAAATTTGTTCTGGAATTGCATGTTGTTTGTTAATGTCAATAATGTGTTATAACAAGGGATTTTTGTTTAGATTCTTATTTTAGTATCAGTACTGTATATTGTTTAGATCCTTTTGTGTTTATTTCAATCTCTCCCCAGTTGCTTAGTTTAGTAACATTTGAACGGCATTAATCTCATTAATTTCTTGCTTCACCGTTCCATTCTTCTGTTTCTCTTGTTCCATTTTCTCATCTTCTTCGAGTCCACTCTGTCATGGTTTTATTTTGCCTTCTGACCTACATGAGACGCTCAGGAGATGTTGAGGCTCAATGAGAATACCTCAAATCGGTAAGGAAATGTAAGCTATTTTGGAAGTGCATGGTCGCCATTATACGTGCTATCCGAATAGTGCTGGTAGTTAGGAAGGAGCTAGGACCAAGAAGCAGTAGGCCTATGTCTTCTAGCATTAATAGAGATATTATAATTACCTCCTGATATCCATAGCCGTCGCTAGTAGCTATGCTGTTGCTCTAAAACCGTTGCATGACAGATTGTATAGGCATGGCCCACTTCACAGAGTTAAATCAAAATACATTATTTTCTGACATGTACTGTGTGTGAAACATGGAAATGTCCTAATCTTTTTTTTTTTGGAGTTTTTTTAACTGAACGCTTCAACTCCTCGCTACTTTTGTCTAGCTTTGTTTTTATAGTTCCTTTTCAGAAAGATGCTGTCCCAGTTTGACCAGCATCATTCATGTGTGTCCATAACTTAATGGCATATGTTATGCAAAAGACTGTCGGAATTTAGCACTGCAGTCTAGATAACTAGGCTGAATCCAAAACCAGCCACTAAACACTAATAACTCTAAGCACTAAACCATGCGTAGGGTCTGCCACATTAAGGGCCATCCCAAACCACATAGTGGGTAACGCGAGTGGACCAATCAGCCATTAAATATTGAGTCTGCATCATTGCAGGCTCCCTGGAATTTGGCAGCGGGTGTAACGCCGAACAAGTGGCGAATGAAACACGTGCATTTATATGTAAATTCTGCTGGATTAGCTGCATCTGACAGAAATTCCCAAGTTAGGAAAAATACATAATTAATCCTTAAATTGAAGGTCCTTTTTGAAAAAGTTTTGTTTGACTGGTTAGATTTATTTTAAGAAAATGGCTACATAGCTACAGCCACTGACATGAGGTGTTGCTGTGTTGCCGTAGGAACGACTGCTTATCCTTTCAGCTTCAGGGAAGAGGCCGTCCCATTCACCTTTATAGCCCCCACGTAAAATCTAGGCGCCTTCCACAGCTGTGAGTAAGACTTTATTGTAAGTGACACTTGATAGTTAAGGGTTAGTTCTTGCTCTTTAAAAAAGGTAAAAGGTGAAAGAATAGGAGGTAGGAACAGGAGCTAGAATTTGAGGTATTTTGATTGAGCCTTGGGAACAGTTAAAGAGTTTAATGTAATATCTGTAATGTACAACGATCAAACAGGTCAGGGTAGAAGTAGGGAACAGCGAGCTCAAATCAGTCTGCTTAACACAACAGTCATTTTTACGAAGCGGAAGCGTCACTGAGCATTTTTACAAGGATGCTCCCTGTCTAATGGCTGCTGCTAACAAGGCCTCTTTATGTATGAGTTTTGGGGTAAAACTTAGATAATGTGGGCATTTCTACTTGATGATCCACATACCCCACAGGGTACCTCATCCCCAAAGTATATGGTTTATGTCTAAAGAATAGAATATTTCGGATACACAAGTTATGTTCGTAACATAATGAGATGGAGGATTTTGCTTTTACCCAATATGTTTGAATACAAATGTACTTTCTACTCGATAATTCCTTAAAACTGTCTGGTTATTTCTATAGTGTATGTATTGATAACAATGATGAAGTGACAGCCACAACAACACAGAGGGATATCCCATAGGGTGTAGAGAATTTGCACAGTTAAACAGTTTGCAGAAGAAAAAAGATAAATAGTAATATGGCTGAGGACAGAGGACTGGGAAACATGTCAGATGATGGATCAGATTCTAAGACAAGACATTCCTTCACTTCCTTCTGCCTCTACACCCACGATTGTAGACCGATCCACAACCACAACCGGATCATCAAGTACGCCGGCGATACCGCTGTGGTCGGTCTCATCTCCAGGGGCGACGAGGCCGCCTACAGAGAGGAGGTCCTGAAGCTGGCTGATTGGTGCTCGGAGAACAATCTGACTCTGAACACCAAGAAAACCAACGAGCTCATCATAGATTTCAGGAGGCACAGCCCTGAGCCAGCTCCCCTCTTCATCAACGGCGAGCAGGTGGAGAGGGTTCACAGCGTCAAATACCTCGGCGTCCACATCTCTGACCGCATCACCTGGTCAGAGAACATCACCACCATCATCAAGAAGGCCCGGCAAAGGTTACACTTCCTGAGAATCCTCAGAAGGTATAACCTCATCTCCGATCTGCTGCTGGCCTTCTACCGCTCCTCCGTCGAGAGCTTGCTGACCTACTGCATCATAGTATGGTTCGGCAGCTCCACCGCTGCCGACAGGGAGAGGCTGCAGAGGGTGATAAAGGCGGCGTAGAGGATTATCGGTCGCCCTCTCCCCTCCCTGACAGACATTTACTCCACCCGGTGCCTCAGCAGAGCCAGGGCCATCTCCAAGGACAGCTCCCACCCTGGCTCCACCCTGTTTGACCTGTTGCCCTCTGGAAGGCGCTACAGGCAAATGAGGATCAGGACAAATAGACTGAAGAACAGTTTCTTCCCCCAAGCCATTGCCCCCCTCAACTCCGACCTGCACTGTCGGTCACTTTACACCTGTTTTGCACTATTCCCCCCCCCACAATCCGTGCCAGTACTGTTTACATTTCCTTTTCCTTTTAATATATTTATATTTTTTATTTTTCATTTTTTATTTATTTTACGCTAGCTGAAATGGAAGTCCCAAAAATGTCATTGTATCCGTTGCAGAATATGATGACAATAAAGGCTTTTTGACTTTGACTTAATAGATTTTAAATTTACCAGATAGTTATTCTTGAATTGTTTACATTTCAATACTATTTGCAACTGTAATCCTGTGAATATGATGTTTTTTTAGCTATAAAAATATTCTCTCTACTAACAGTGAGCAATTGGTTTCATTTACATAAATACTATTTTTTTAAATAAGTAATTCTACTTCATACTTAAGTACTTTATTAGGTAAAGAATGTGTTTACTTTTGACACATCTGAGAATAACTTCTGACCCCCCCCCCAAAAAAAAAAAAAAAAAACTAGATCCCTATCTGAACTTTATGAAAGACGTTTAGCTCTATATTTGTTGTATTTCATTAAAAGTGATGCAACAAATGACTGTTCTGATTCTGTACAAAAACAAAATTGTAGCTGACTATTGTGATATTTATTGTAAATGTAATAATTCCATTAATGCTGTACATTTTAAACTTATTATTATGAATATTTTATCTACCTTATAAACATTGTGGATTTTGATGGTTTAGCTCCCTCTTGTGGTCACTGTGTGTCCTGCAGGATCCTGCTCTCCCTACATTTAACTACATTATTTTCACACCATACCGAATTACTGCATAAAAAAAAAAAAAGTCCACTCAGTTTAATGGTTTAGCTCCCTCTTGTGGCCACTGTGTGTCCTGCAGGATCCTGCTCTCCCTACATTTAACTACATTATTTTCACACCATACCGAATTACTGCATAAAAAAAAAATCCAGTCAGGTTTGTTTTACTGTTATTTTATAGAAACAGGACTCATTTAACAGTGCAATGCACTACACTCCTCCATGAAGCAAAGCATGGAAAAAGAACACTCATTTCATAGAATTGACATTAAACACAGATTAGGTTAGGATTGTGACTAATGTCTACATTATTGTTTACCTCACACATACAGCATATATGACAGAAGTGATGACACAAAGCCTACAGTTTATGTTAAGCTCTAGGATAATTTTTTGGTGATGCGTTTGAATTATCATCAAAGTCACTTTCATTTCAGTCAGTCAGGTCTGGCAAAACGCAATGAATTATGAAGCATTTTATTCTCGTTTTGGAAGAATTCACAGACCTCTGAGTCTATGAGATGATTCCAGGAAAATCACTTCCTCAAAAACAAGGAGTCCATCTGAGTGAAATGAAAGTGACGCAGTTTTATGTACAAACTGAGAGTGATATAGAGGCAGGCTGCAGATCAGTAGCTCAGTTGTCAGGCAGGGGGGCTTCACACCTACAATCTGGTAAACACTGACTACTTTCTGTTGATTTCTCTAAATAACAGCAAAGACTGAGTTTGGTCTTAAATAAATCCCACTGCTGATCCTCTATGGTTTTCTGTTGGCTGGATGTTCTGGAACCCGTCGTGTTAATGTTATCTAGCATTCACAGGCGCGCCCTGCAAAAAAAAAAACATTGAAGGGAGGAGTTAGAGACCAGAGACATCAAACATTCCAGAATAATTTTTACATACGTCACTATTTCATATTTATTCTTCAGTCCAAAATCAATTAAAACTGACTCCAAAACACGATTTAAGGCATGAAAAAGGAATCGGGTAATATCACAGAGCAGGCAGATGTGTTCTAATGAAAGTGGAAACTATGGTTCCAGTGTATGTCTGCAGAACCCTGTAGAGTTACTGACACAGTTTTTTGTTTTCCATACAGGTCTCTAATGTATTTTGTGTACAGCAAAGCTGCAATCACTGCAAAGATTTCCAACCTCAATGGCAGTTTAGAGACTGTGTTCAACACCGGTATACATTATGGATGGTATATATCAATGTTTAGTAGGAGTTTGTGCAGCAGCTGTACTTTTTCTAATGCTTTAAAGATTCTGTCCACAAACGTATTGCTTTATACCAATCTTACCTTAAAAGGTAATGGCACTATATCTAACAATCTGTCTTAAAAACCAAAAAACAAACGATTCCTTTAATCATAGAGAAATGCAGTTTTTATGAATGAGAAAAAAAATATATGTTGTTTTCCGAAATAATTATTTGTTTTTTTACTGCATGTTTATATAAATGTTTGCCTCACAAACAACCTATGGATCCAACACCACTTACATGTACTTCTCAACTATAGCTGCATATAATCTGTAAATATTTTATCTGCTATTATCTGTCATTATTTATCCTATATTATAACCCCACTAATATATAAATAATCCACTAACTTCCCTGTATAATCTGTGTTTTTCCCCCATATTTATTAACTTTATAGCCTCTTACAATGACTACCTGATTATATATACCATTTAAAGTCCATGCATAGTCTCTGCACGTATGTAAATCAATATTTATCTCCTGTATAGCACTTCTGGATCAATGCAAACTACATTTTGTTGCTTCATACTTGTGACACCATAATGACAATTAAGTTGAATTCTATTCTATATGCTAAATGAGAACACGTCACAAAAACACAACCTGATCATACTAGGGTTTGCCGCTAAATAGAATTACTGTATGCAGATACATTTTATTTAAATATTTGTATCTTTATTTGACTAATGTTGGCTTTTTATACAAACAAAAAGAACAGAAATCAAGATATTTATATATATATATATATATATATATATATATATATATATATATATATATATATATATATATATATATATATATATATATATATATATATTTTTTTTTTATTATTATTTGGGAGAAGTTTGTGGCTCTTGTCAAAAAAAAAAAGCTCTACTGCAGTTTTAGGTCTAAAACAGTTAAGCTCAGTCAGGTTGCTCTCCAAGCGGTTAACTAATGAGTCTTTTTATAGCTGCTGCCTTCAACAGTCCCAGTCTCCTCCCTGCACCCCTCCTCCACCTGATGAACACCCAGCGTCCCACCACCTGTTGAACAGCAAGGCATCTCAGGCCAGCTCTATGAGCGCTGACTATTTGATGTTGGCATAGATGTACAAATATTTGAGTCTTTATGTGACTCTTTATGAGGCTATTTACTGTAAAACAGATAGATGAAGTAAATTAGACTTCAATATGATCAGCAAGACTAACCTGGAAATGAAATACAGAATAATCTACAGGAATCGTGTTTAATTTATTCACCAGTCATCTATAAATAGTCTTCCTTATTTTACAAATGCCAGAAAGGATGTTTACTTTGAAAAAAAAAAAAATATTTGACTGACTTGAAATTTGTAATATTTTTTCTTTTTAAAGTTTTGCTCAATTCATATTCACTGTCCACAAATAGTTTTTTTCAATAATACAATCTCAAGGGGATATTTTTTTAAACATATAATTTATTTGCAATTATTTAATGAAAGCAATAATGCATGTAGTTAGAATAAAGAATAATCTTTCTTAGTGAAAGATTCAGGAAAACAGTTTTGCATTTAAGACAACAGGTTTGATTGAAAAATAACTAATTAATTTCTAATACTGTGAAGATTTTAATCTGAAACCTATACTATGTTGCTCTAGCAATGGCATCATCCAAGCAGGGAGGGGATAAGCAAAAAAAACAAATAAACTGGAGAACATTGCAGAGAGATGATGTGTGATGCCTTCAAAAAAGATACCTTTAGTTCACTTCAATATTTTTTTTTTACTTCTTTCTATCTAAAATAATGAATGACTGATTAATGCTGCTTTAACTGAGCTTAGAAGGTTAGAAAATAAAGAAAAAATCAGAAGACTCAAATACTTTTTCTCTCCCTTTGTACATACTTTTCTTGTCAATCTATATATCAGAGAACTTTACATGATCAGCCTGATTTCTTCCTACGATATAGGTATACTGCTACTCACTTTAAATTATAAACAAGAGAACATGAGGTGATGTAAAACCAGATGTGTAATACAGTAGTTCTCATAAGTTAATAAATGTTTAGGACCATATATTTAGTACCTAAAAACATCTCTTTTCTACTAGAATACATCTCAACACATATAGATTTAAATATAATAAGAGCTGAGGACTATTTGTAGGTTATATATCTTCACATCATCAATATGAGCTCTTAGCAAACAAGCAGCTATTTGCAGATGAGTATTAATGAGTACCTTTGTCGTTGAGCATCTGCTGAGCATTGCTTCCTGTCCTCGGTCTGAAAAGAGGAGAAAACAGAAATACAATCAGTGTTTTAGCCAGAAAAATGTCCACTCTAATCTTACAGTTATGTGTCTAAAGCTTCACCTCTTCTGGTTGAACTTGCATCTGCAGTGGCCACCTTGAAGAGACAAAAAGCATGGCCCATTTTATGACGGCTGAATGTTTAAGCTATATCAAAGCCTGTTTATGACTGTTTACAGAGGAGCGTCTTACTGAACAGAATAGTGATGCCAATGAGACAGAGCACAGCAGCCAGGATGAGGCCTCCGACCCGCAGTCTATGGTAGTCTGCATAAACAAACATCGATTTCATTAGACAGTAGGCCAAATAAACACTCGCTAAAGGAACTGATTTGATATACTAATTTTCATATAAATTATAATCAAAGCACTAAAACAACTTAGAAAGTTATCATCTATTATTGCAACAATGAAAAGAGAACAGTGGATTACCAAATGTAAAGGGATCATCCACTTCTGTTGGAGGAGGAATAAAAAAAACAGTTAAAGAGGAAACATGTAGCCTAGTGTAAACAGTTTGACGAGCAAACATGGGGAGACCTTTGACCCTTGAGAACATTCTAAAAGCCCAATATGATGGAAAGGCATAAAATAGAAATAAAGGAATAAAAAAACACAGTGCTATAATTACCAGCCTCCGCCTTTACAAGCACCAGGGACATAACTGCAAGAGGAGACAGAGAGAGACACATCACCATGGTGAACCACAACCTCAAGCCTCTAACACTGTTACACAAACAGCAGGAGAAACATCTGCAGTGTGTGCTGCGGCTGAGCCACATATCAGTGGAAATATGTCTGATATAGGCCAGGTTCTCACAAGGTTATGAACATAGCAGCAGGATAAGAACAACAGCAAACTTTACTACAGGACAAACTTTTGTGATTTGTAAATAATATATATTTCAATTCCTCATTTCCTGAATTAATGAATTAATCGAGTAGAATAGATTTTTATCTATTCTACTCAAAAAACACAAATGAAAAACAAAAAAACTGATTTTTTACTTTGCTAGAGTAGAATAATTAAATGAAATAAAACATAACTCATCAAACTGATTGCTCAGATGTCCTCTAATCAATTCAGTTGATTTTTTTTTACATCTACAACAGCACAATACTGATTTAGGGGTACCTAAAGATATCGGAAAGTGCAGAAGAAAAAATAACACTGACCTATTTAGAAAAACCCAACCTTTATTTGACCTCTTCAGTGAAGAAAGGTCAACATAGACAACATATTCTAATCTTTTAACAGTACTATGACAATTTTAATCAACTAAAACAGAGAAAATGTTTCTTAAAACATACTTTATCAAGTTATTTAAAGGCTTGGAGTGTTTTTAAAATAAATTCAGGACATCCTGCTTTCTTGGTTCTAAATATACCCAACCTTTAAAATGTTAAAGACAAGAGATCGAGCCACTAAGTGAAGGCAGCTAATGATCTTCATTTTCATGAACTGGCTTCAAGGTAACAGCTAGGAGCCTTAACTTACTTTGTTTATTGTCTAATTTAAAGTGAGAGGGAGATTAAAAGGTTTATAAGAACTGGAAGATTTACAGTACAAGCAAGAGAAGGTCCTATAAACATCCTGTTAAGTTGGAGAAAATAAAAAAATAAATCTTGTTAGAGTGATATTATCCAACCAGAACAGAACTTTTATTTAATCGCATCTTTAACCTGGATTGATGAGTGTGAAAGGTCTTTATTACTTGACTTATTATTATTCATGTAATAAAAAATATCTTAAGTAGAAACTTTTTTTGTGAAAAACTGCTCAAATCAAATGATTCAGTCTTTTACTTACATGTCACCAAAACCAAAGAGCAGATCCTCGACATCTTCAGGCCTGGAAATGTTTAGGTCTGAAAAAAAACAAAGGGCGGATTATTAATGGTGACCAGTAAATAAGACACATCATTGCTCAACTTTGGCAACATAAAGGTCTGAACTCTGCCAAATACCATAAGCAAATAAATAAGTCTGAGTAACTAAAATACATTTTTTTTGTTTGACAGCTTAAACAAAGCATCAATGTAAAGTTTATGATCCTCTAAAGTCAAAACTTTAAACAAACCTTTTAGTTTCATGATTGCAGGGTCTTTAAACACAAATATTTATATTTTTAACATCAGTTGATGCTTCTGCTGTTGGAAACGCCTAATTATGCCACCACAGATTTAAACACAAAATCGAGGCAACCTCGTCTTTAATTTTCTGTGTTTTTTCCTCGGCAGTAAACAAACTCTCACAAATAAAGAAATGCAGTGTTTCCACATGGGCTGAAATGTCAGGAGATTTTCCTGATCAAGAAGGAATGAAGGAGTCTTTCAAAACCCTAAGTATCTTTTGGTAAGCTTCAGAAGTTTAATCTTCTTTGCTCTTGCTTCAGTGAAGCTGTCAGAAATACAGCGGTCAGCTTTTCTAGTTCCATGGTAATATTCTAAGCCTATTTTCTGAAGTATATGAGTGTAGAAATGGTCATATCCTGTAAAATTACTCTTAGCCAGTCAACGAAGTCTCAGATCTAATCTCTGATATTTATAAACACACTAAACTAACAAATAAACTCTACAGTTACATGTAGAAAGTCTGCATTCCCATGATCCTACCTCACATGTTGTCACATACCCCCATATTTTAACACTAACAAACTCTGATTTAAACTATGATTGTGGCTCTGGCTGAATTTTTATGGTGATTTTCCACTAGATGATGAACCTCTGGAAATATATAGTCTTTTAGAAGCTCTGACAAGTTTTCTTCTTGGGTTGATTACATTAAGCTCCATCAACTCCTGTTATCTTTTCTTTTCCCCATGAAGAAAAGTAAACCCACAGTATGATGCTGCCAACATCATGTTCCACCTGTAGGAATACCGCAGCTGGAAAACATGTATTAGTTTTTCCAACCAAAATAATTTTCCCATGGAGGACTAGCATGATTCTTTTTACTAATTGCTTTGAAACCTGAAGCCTGAGCGTGTAAGCACCCATTAGAAATCTGAAGAAAAGACATAAATATGTTTTTTTTTAAATGGCATAATGGGATGTTAATATCTTTTGGGAGATGCAAGAGCTGATACTTCTAAAGACAATTAACTCCTTTATCCTATTCAGGGTTATCAGGATGAGGAAGGTTAAACACAAATGTACAGCAAACTTTACAGATTTCAATCTTTAAAGACTGTATAAATTTGTAAATTCGCAAAAAGCTGAAAAGCTCAGGGGGTATGACTATTTTTTGCAGAGCTCTTTAAATCTTCCATGATTAACACACTTCCTGGTGCTTTAGATTCCACGTGGTATCCAAGCGGATCAGCTCCCATGTTGTTTGTTGCTGCCATGGTTGCTATATTAAGGCAGCACCAGCAGAGGCACCATATGAACACCAAGGTGCCACTCCTTAGGCAACAGTGATTTTCCACTTACAGTAGTTTTCCGATTTGGGTGCATCAGAGGAAGAGCAAACTCTAGTGAGAAGAGATTCATGCACCACTACTTGTGAAAGAGGTCTGTGAAAAATCAACACTTCAGACGGTAGAAGCTGAAAAATCTGCATTCTGGATCCAACAAACTATCTGAACAATCCACAAGACAGCTACTGTCTTTCTCTACTTTCATTAGGTTTAATTGATGCATTTTCTGCTGTGTGTAAATGTAATATCAGACAGGACTTTGCTTAATGAGATCAGAATATTGCTATTATTAAAGCTGTATGTCCTCCTGGTTGGCTGCTGATCACAGGGTGGAAGCAGGAGGACAACAGCAGAACAACAGGATGAGCACTCCTCTCCTGGTGCCTCCCCACAGCAACCCCGCGCGACGCAAGGGGAATGCAGACGATGGGAACTTGGCCAGGGACCAGTAAAGAAATAGCAAGAGGGATAAGATGTAGAAGACTGATGAAGAGCACACAGCAGGGAAAGTGGGCCTGTTAGGTGAAGCAGGGGAGAGAAATGTCTCCTCCTAACTCCACTTACAGGATCAACAGCAAATGTTTGTACAAGGTGGAGCATAGGAGAGCCTGAGGCATTGTATTCATGCAATAAAAGAAAAGAGTCCAGTAACTTGCTGGGAAAGTAGAGGTCTGTGTTGGTATGTGTCATGGAGCGGTTTTTGGCTCTCACACAAACTGCCATAAGAAAAGCGAAGGAAAAAAACTGATTTGTTGTACAAATTAAAAGGACAAAATATATTGAGATGGAGTTTTCCAACTAAGAAAAAACAGTTTCAAACCTTTGTTTAAAATATATGTTAATTTATAAAGGGTGTTAAATCAGGAAACCTAAAAAGAGGCGTATTACATCAGCAACTGGGGGTGTAAATCACAGCCATCATGGCGATTCGATTCAGTATCAATTTCCTGACCCAATGATTCGATTATTTTCGATACTCAAGAATACACCACGATACGATTCCATTAATTGGTTTTCTTTTTACCTTACAGGCTAGACAATGTTTCAAATTTGAAAAAAAAATCAATGAAAGCTGTAATATCGTTATGGATTTTATTTGAGAAACAACAGCAAATAATAGAAGTAGCAAAGTTGTACTCCACCTAGGCCTATGAAAACCTCATTCACTGAAAAATAATAATGGCTCTGTATTATAGATTCTGAAAGGCCTTGAATCAAAAAAATACTGCAAGCAGAAACAGGATAGTGGCTAAAGGAAGCGAGGTAGGAGGGTAAAATAGGTTTAGGGCCACCGCAGCATCGCAGTCAGACTTACATCCAGGAGCAAATGGATAAAAATAGACAGGAGGAAAAAAATAAATGAATCGATACTCTTGTGGACGTGTTGATGCTTCGGATCGTCGGCTGTTGGATCGATGAATCGATACAAAACGATTACTATTTACACCCCTATAGTAGCAACCATTCAAAATGGCCTTTCCCTGTCAAAGGCCAGCCGAATGGCAGCCCACTTCCCTCCAACTCCCAGCCACTGGAGTCACCCTCTCTTGCATATATCCACCCATCTTAATGTCCACAAATCATTAGAGAAAAAAATATTTTAGTACAAATATTGATGTTTAAAAAGGAATTGTAGGGGACCAGCCAAGGAAAGGAAGGAAAGTGGGGAAATTTTGAATGACTACTAGGTACTGTACATCTGGTCCACATGGTGAGCCTTTCTACCAGCAGGTGTGCTCTGTTTACAACCTTAGCAGTTTAGTTTGCTTTACTCCTGACTGTTAGGGTTTGAATGAAAGGTTAGAAGACTTTTTTATTCTTATACAATCTGAATGAGGCGGCATAAATTAAACTCAAATGGCAAGAAAAAAAAACAGAAGGCCAGCCTTGTGTTTCTGAGAGAATAAAGTTACCTTGCAGACTAAATGAATTGTCACCAAATGAATTCACAAACTCCCGAAAATACATATTGGCAGAAGCTGCATGCAATGCATCAGCCTCAAATACAGACATGGTTTGAACCAATGAACTGCAAGACGTCACTGCACTTGTGGAACAAATCAAGAATGTGATCCAGCTTCTGTCTCTGCTGCGAATGGCTAAAACACGAGATGGGAGGCAGGTGCCACTTGGTGATTTAGCCTCTTTAAACCCAACAGGTCGCCTTAAGTGGGGGTAATAACTCAGAATGCATAAAATTCCACTGCTAAAATTTATACCAGCAGGTGGAGCCATAGCACGCAACTCCAAGCTGACACCAAAAGTACAAAGCCCCACAGCTCTGGAGCTGTTATAGCTAGAGGTCTGAAATTTTCTGCAGTTGTGGTTGACATGATAGAGAACAAATATAATACAATAAAACCTGCTTTTTCTCAAGAATGTATTTAATACTGCTGAAACCAGAGGGTGTTAGCTTTCAAATAATGTGTTGCACATGTAATTTGGGCTTAGAGTTCCTAAGTTATTTGCTTTTCCATCAGGGTATGCAAAATATGCGAGGATTACCCAAAATGAGGTGGATGTTAAGAGGTTAAGGGCTGGTTATACTCCCTGCAGCAGTGTGTCGCAGTGAGCTTGTCGCAGATGTTTTTGAATTATGCCCAATATTGAAGTGTGGTCTGCACTATGTTATTCCACACCACAACACAAGAGGGACAATCACGAACTAGCTGTGGGTCTAGATACGGCCGAGGCGGAGAGGAAGTGGGGGCAAGTTTGTGTGTGAACGGAGGGACATGAAGGCGAAAAGTTGCGGGGATCCAGGTGGAAAAAGGGTCCCAGCGTTCTCGCGCACCTCGCTCTTCTAGCTGGTCCAACTTCATGAGTCGTTTTTCCATGGCAGTGTCCTGCAGGTTTTAGAGATTTCCCTGCTTTAGCAGAGCTGATTATGATAATTGCAGTTTAGCAAAAGACTTTAAATCAGCTTTAAATTAAAAAGCAAGAAAACCTCTAAAACCTGCAGGACAGCGGACCTCGAGGACCGATTTTGGGGATACCTGCTCTATGGTCTACCATGACTCTCTGCTTACATTAGCCTACACTCAATAACTTACAAGTGAAAGTTAAAAATACAGGCCTTTTCTTTCAACCTACATTACTTTACATGCTCCACCAGAAGTGGAAAATTTTTCCTCTGACCTCATTTTATTCTTGCAGTTCTGTCTTGGTACTTCTTGCTGCTCTTTTGTAAAACAACTACCCCCTCTGCCATTGCATTGGCTTGTCTCTAAAGCTAAGGTGCTACACAGCCACAGTGGATGTGACTTTCTATGAACAGGGGAATTTCTTGTGAAAAGACAAAGCCAAGACCAACTCTGCTGTCGTTCCTTGCCCCATCAACAACAAGAATACCTTTTCTGTAGTTCCCGAGGGGGTTTAAAGGTCCAAAGATTGAGCCTTAAACACAGCGACTAAAGAAGAGTGAGAGTCGGATCACAGGCAGATGAA